GAATATGGAAGAGGGTTCTAAGTCAAGGAATATAGGCAGCTGCTAGAATCTTAAAATGGCAAGGACACAGATTCTCCCCAAGAGCCTCCAGAAAAAATACACGTGCTGACGCTGACTTTAGCTTAGTGAGACTGGTGTTGGACTTCTGACTTATAGAACAGTAAGATGGCAAATTTATGTTGTGTTAAGCAACTAAGTCTGTGGCAATTTGCTAGGTCAGTGATAGAAAATGAATACATTGCGTAACACCTTTCCCGAAGGCCTTGTATTAAGCCAAACAGAAAGATAGATACCCGAGGAAAAGATTAGATTAATGGTGTTATTTTTCCACTCGAAGTTACTACCAAATTTGGTGGTCTCAAGTTATCAAATTGAGAGAGAGGCATGAATCATTCACGGGAGCATAGAATAAAGATTTAAGAATCAAACCTATAGTCGGGCATGGTGGTGCATGCCCGTAGTTTCAGCTACTTGGAAGGCTGAGGGGGAAGGATCACCTAAGCCCAGCAGGTTGAGGCTGCAGTGGCTGTGAGTGTGCCACTGCATTCCAGTCTGGGTGACAGAGTGAGACTCCAACTCCAAAAAAAGAGAGAATTAAACCTAGAAAAGAATATCGGTGTGGTTATTGATGCATACAACAAACAAGAAGTCCTTTTAGTTTGAGGAAATAGTTTTGCCAGGGAAGCCATAGAGCCTGACCTAAAAAAGCCTGTGGTTAAATCTTAAAATAACTTATAAGCTCCCAAATGGCATTTGCAGAAGGTAGGCTGCAAAATTTGTACACAGAAATCCTAAGAAATGGATACTCCTCAATCCTTCTTATGTTGGCCATGGTGTATAATGGAGAAGGAAGAATCTTCCAGAAAGCAAAACCAGAGGTCAGGAAGGATGACAAACAAGGGAGTTCCTCCCACAGAGAATACCAGTGACAGTCTGATGGGATAAATTTAGAATTCACTCCATCAGGAGGGCAAAGTGTATTTAGAATTCCTATCCAGGAAGATTTCATCATTGCTATGGGTCAGTGACTCTATGTGTTTCCTTTTTTTTTTTTTGGTAGGGGGCAGAGGTCTCACTGTTGCTCAGGCTGGAGTGCAGTGGCACAATTCTGGGTCACCACAACCTCAACCTCCTGGGCTCACCTCCTGGGCTCAGAAGACCCTCCCACCTCAGCTCCCCTAGTCTACAGGCTCATGATACCACACCCAGTTAATTTTTGTAATTTTTGTAAGGTCTTGCTATGTTACCCCGACTGGTCTTAAACGCCTAGGTTCAAGCAATCCTCCTGTCTCAGCCTCCCAAAGTGCCGGGATTACTACAGGAATGAGCTACCATGCCTGGCCATGGTTATTATTGTGTGTGTGTGTGTGTGTGTGTAAGTAGGATTTATTGAGAAGACAGAAAAGCTCTCACAGTAGGAGGGGACCTGAAGGGGCTGCCTGGTTATTATCTTAATTTAACTCATAAAAAATAAAAATAAGACTAGAAGCAGTGACTCATGCCTGTAATCCCAGTGCTTTGGGAGGCCAAGGGAAGACTGCTTAAGACCAGGAGTTTGAGACCAGTCTGCGCAACATAGCGAGATTCTATCTCTACAAAAAATGAAAAAAAATTTATCTGGTCATGATGGCATGCCTTTGTGTCCCAGTTAGGTCAACACACTCTCTGGATTCATTTCTGCTTGAAAATGAGGTTTGTTTCCAGACATCCATTTCTCAGTCTGTTATCTGACAAGCTGGACCACAGGTCTCAGTTTTCCAGCACACCTCATTGCATTTCCTCTAGGCCCCTCCATCTTGGATGTTGTTAGGTTTGGGCAGTTTCACCAATCTGGGGGTTGACTTCAATAAATCATGAACTCTCACAAAGTGTGTAGGGGGGTCACTTGGGATTTCCAGGCGTGCAAAAGCAAATGAATGGTGAGAATGGTAGAAGCATCTGGCTCCGGAAGCGCAAACCCCATGTCTCAAAATCCCAAATCCTCGCCTTCACATCCGGGAACCAGAGGCCTCACCCAGAGCGCAGGCGCGGTGTTGCCTGGCAACCGAGGAGGGCCCCCCCAGAAGGCCAGCGGGGACTCGGCCTTAGTGAGGGCCGCCATCTTGGCCAATTGGTGTCCATGCCTGATCCGTGAACTGGGACTACTGGTGTCTTTGCGCCCTGCCTCACAGGATTGTTGAGCATCACAACACGGTACAAACAGAAATTACTTTAAAAGCATTCGTAGCCCACGAGTTGCCCTGGCTCCCCCAGGCGACCCTGGTCCGAGGGACCTGAGGGCAGATGCGCGAGTGCCTTCGGGCTGCCAACTTGGAGGGCTTTTCTGAGCAGCCAAGAAGCGGGACTGAGGGGCTGGGGCCACGGGGTGTGAGCAGGGCTGGGGTTGCCTAGGAGGGCGGTGGAGGCTCTTGAAGAGCTGAGCGACTGAGGCCTTGTCCCTCGTTATTAGGCTGAGCGGGCACAGAGACCATGGAGTGGGGTGGGCCTGGGGGCCGGGCGTGGGTCGGGAGGGCGG